CCGAGTGGGGCTCCCTCCTCGCCCCGCCGCCGCTCGGGCTCTTCCCCCGCAGCTCCCTTCTCTCCCCCGGTTCTCTTGGGCTTCCCTCCTGCGAGCGTGCAGCGCTCTGGCTGGGCGGGACACGTACAGGGTTAAGTCTTGCACCCATGCCTAAAGAAATGGACCCGAGGTAATTTAAATCAGCTGGGTCCCTCTCTGCCCAAGCCCAGAGTTACCGTGCAACGCAGGCTTGTGTAGCTACGCGTGAAATAACTCGTTAAAAGTGATGCTAGAGTAGAAAAGGACAGGAGGGAAATGGCTTGGATGAGTTGGGAAGGACAAGGCAGTCGTGATAGTCTGAACAAAGGCTGGGAAGTGGGAGGAGAGCATGCAGATTCACGGGGGATGTGTGATATGGCTGCAAGGAGGTCTCTGCAGAGTCATCTGTGGTGAAAAGGATGGGGGATGTTGTTCTAGTTTCTCACTCTTGGGATGAAAAAATCCTAACTAAAAACTCAGCGGAGAAGGAAACGGCAAGGTATGCATGCTGCGTGTGCGAAGAAGCCACTGAGGGTGATCCACGGATTACAGGTTTGAGTGACACAGGCAAAGGTGCGATTGATATTGATAGCAAGCGTGTGGAGCTGGGGTCGTAGATGGTTGCAGAGAAAAGAGAGAGTGTCAGCCCATTTAAAGTCTACCTGGATAAGTAGTTCAGGAGGCAGATTTGAGTTGCACTTTCTCTGTTTTGGAGTTATCAATAAAGAGGTGAAAGAAGAAAAAGCCATCTCAAATGGCTGTGAAATATCAACAGGAAAAGAAGAGGAGTGTCCTCCAAAAGACTTGGAGAAATCCCACCAAGAAATACATATCTTGAGGTAGCGGGACAAGAGATGAGGTGGGATTGCGTCATTTACCATGTCTGATGGTAGCGAGGTCAGAGAGAGACTGATGGTGGCACACTTGAAGGCATTTTGTTTCAAATGACCTTGTTAAGAAGAATTGTGCTGTGGAGCAGGAGTCAGCAAGAGGGCAGCTCCGTTGGAGTGGCAGAGCGTAGGGGTGGGTGTGTTTACGAGCTCCTGCAAGGGGGCTGGAGGAAGGGAGGGGATTAAATTGTATCAGTCTTAGTGAAGACGAGGGAGTAGCTTGGATGAAGGTGGTAAAGAAGGACCTCATCCTCCCTTGGGTAGGAAAGCCATCTAAATATGGTTTAAAATTTTATAATCTGAGTCTGGGGATTATGGTAATTATTTAGTCTAAGTACTGTTTGGTTTTTTGACTCTCTTTTTTGAGCGTAACATCTTTATTGTCTTAAAAACTAGTGTTATCAAGTATTAGCTGTGCCTTGTCTTAGTTTGTATTCAGAGAGCTCGTCATTGGGTCATGAGGGCGTTAGGCTGAGCACTAGGTGAGGCGAGTTCTGTTCCTCATTTTCCTAGTACCCTGCTTTGCTTTGTCCACAGAGCTTGTGCCTTAGTCCTCCTCTCTCTCCGCGCATGTCCGCCTGACGTTCAGTTATGCTGGAAGTGAGCTCTTTCCGAGAATGTTGTGACAGGAGTCACAAAAGTCATCCAGTCTGCAGACTGTTTTCTGCTTGATGTATCCCATTTGCCCGTGCAAACTGTTCCTCTGTTTGTTCAAATAAGTACGTTAGTGGCACAGAGAAACGGCTCTGCCCTCTTCTGAGCCCCCTCCCCAGCGACTGGCAGGTAACTGCTGAGGTACCAGGTAGGCCCATTATTCTACTTAGATACCTAAAAACATCTCATTGCTTGGGCAGGACCTGCTACGTGTTGAGATAGCAAATGGACCCAGTGTTTTGGGGTGGTTTTTTCTGTCTCTAGAGTGTGGGATGATCTGAGTGAGTTTGAGAAGTTTCCTGACTGCTGAAACTTGCTCAGGCTTTGTGATGCTCTGAGGTTGGCTGAACAAGGCTGTTGCACACGAGGCTATTGATATCTCTGTAGGAGTGCTCACAGTGGTTTTAGATTCTCAAATAAGTTATTCCTTTAACATAAGGTTTAACAGGTAAAGATCCATTACTTCTTTTATGCAAGAGGTCAGTGTCGATACAGATTAAGCCCAGAACTGAATCATTAACTCTAAGCAGGGTAGAGGGAGGGAGGGACAATATAGGTTTGCCTTGTGTCTGTCAAATCAGATTTCACATCTGTCTCCTTGCAATATGGAGAGACGGTGCCTCGGCTCCGCTGAAGTTCTATGGGAAGCAGTGCTATAAAATATTTGTGTGCTACTTATGTCGTGAATAGCTAAGAAATCAAGAGGCAAACAAAAGGAATGGAGACCAGAATTCAGGGGATAATATAATTAGCTCCTAGCCTTCATCCTCTCTCGCTGGAGGTTTGTATCTGCCGAAATCACTGCAGCCCCTCAAATTAATTGTGCATCACATCTCTTCCTGGCTATTCTGTGCTGTCTGGACAGGTTATTGGAAACAGAAAACAAAGGGATTGAGGAAGAATAATGAAAATTTATGATTGAGATTTCCTGTGCTTTAAAGTCAGGATTCTCAAAGCTTGATTATAGTTTTCCCAGCAGCTACAAATTGTGATACTGTGGGGAGATCTTTGAGTAACAGAGCTAACAACATAGTAATGCAAAATCCAAACGTGTAAGAACCCCAATACGTGCTGCTTGTGGAAAATATAGCTTTGATTTTATGTATATATTTTTATATGTAAAATTTGGTTGCAGCATTGTTTTAAGTCTTCTGTATTTAATATGTTCTCTGTTGAAACTAAATTTGGTTAAATGGAAATTTGTGACTAAATACGAGATGACCATAATTCAAGGTTTTTAGTTACACAAGCAGAAGGTTTGTAGTTCAGATAAGTCAAATACATGAATTTTCCAATACCAGTGAGAATCTAAAAAAAAAAAAGTTGGCTGTTCTGATTCTTCTTGAATAGCAGCTGTCAACACTTAAGCATAAATTTCTACATTCAGAAGGTAATAAGTGTATATTGAGAAGGTAATAAATAAAATGAGAGAATTAATTTTATTTCCCCCCTCAGACGTAAGGCCCAAGCCACATCACATCCAATAGAACCTACTTAAAGGGATTAACTAATTTCACCATTTCTTTTGAGATGGTATTGAAGACTGTTAGATCAGGCGTATGTGAAAGATCTGTTTGCACGTCTTATTTTCCAAAGTCCCACTTAATGGCTATGGTTCTGAAGCAGTATGGACTTGTACACGGTATCACAGGTTGCCTTTCTAGTTGCTGTGGTCATAGCTAAGGGGTTTGTGTTTTTTCCTGTTGGTGAAACGGATATGATGCTTT